TTTTTTTTTTTTTTTAATAATCTGTATTTTTTTTAAACACGTCATACCCCTGCAAAAAACAGAAATTCATTTCTAAGAAAAATACAGGTCAACTCAGGGACCATACATCTTATGATAAAAAATGGAAAAAAAAAAATTATGCTGTTCTTTATATATATATTTTTTAATTTTCTTTAAATCTAATTTAGTTTTTGATTTTTTAAAAATCTTAAACAAAGTCGGATTCAAAAAAAAAAAAAAAAGGGTTGTAGGGCTTAAAATTCTCTACAACCTCGTATGTATATATATATATATTTATATATTCTTTGATTCATGAAAATTCTGGTAAAATCGGGTCCGCGACGCGGACCAGGACGGCCGTGGACGCGGCCATATATGCGGGCGCTATCCGAGATCAGCCCCGCGGACGCGTCTGCGGGTGTTTCATAGTGCGAAAGTGTGCTGAGATCCATACTTGTTAAACTTAAAGTTTATAAATGTGATGAGAAAAGTTTCATGATTGAATCCCTGTTGGATAATACATTTTTTTACTAGGTTACCGAGTTATCCCTAAGTTGTGCAATAATACCCATCATCTCGCCCGAGACGGTTGTTTGGATATTGAAGAAATCCGAACTTCTTTAGAATACTTAGTGTAATGAAAGGCACGCTCATCATCTCGCCGGACATGAGGAAGTGTGTTGAGATCCATACTTGTTTACAATTGTGATGAGCAAGGTGTACTATAACAACCAATTAATTTTGACATACAGGTTCGTTTTGTGCAACAACACATGCCATATTACACAAAAACTTCAAATTTTGCTTATTTACGATCGAAATTTGCACTTTGAATCACCATGCATAAAAGGTTCGGGCATGAACGCAAAATTGTTGGTTACATGTAATGCAGGTGGTCACAAGGCATGTGATTCTATGCACACAAAAGACATGACGCTACTGATCTTTACTTAATGAACCCCACACTCACAAACTCGCTGAGATTTGTCATACATCCACAAACTAATTTGTCAATCATATGCATATTTTTGGTTGAGTTGAACAAAATTTAAAACATGGAACGCAATGTATGACATGTTTTGTCGCATGAGAGACAAGAGAGACGTGACAGAGATTACAAAGTCTATACATGACGCCGGACATGCAATGAGTCTGCCAAAGACAACTCAAACTCGCAACGATAAAAGAAAGCAATGGCGTTGTCAAAACGACAGTTGAATAATGTCATGATTTACAAAATATAATCATTAATAAATGGAATACTTTCAAAAGAAAGTTTTTAAGTCAATCAAATTCATCAAAGACAACGACGTTCTAAGATACGTGATGTCAATTGTCGTCGAATAAGTGGGATATCTTTACAAGAAAACCTGAAAGGTGGTCGATCACCACGTTGCAACAACGTCGCAAACATCAACATGACTACCCCGCAACTAGCTCCATCCACTTGTTTTGGAACTCCTTCCACCACAACATTTCCCGCTATCGACTTCCAACTCCTACCCGACCGCCTATGTGATGTTTGAAGTTCCAAATATTATACAATCAACTCGAAAACACTAGTGTAATAACTCAAATCAACTACCACGCGAGGAAAAGAATAAAAAAAATAGATAACATTATCTCTTAAGTTGACGGAAAGGAGGATCCAGTGATCATTATCTTTGTGGCTTGGAACGAAGATAATATCGTATCGAAGCAAATCTACGTTTTTAGTCCACCTCTCCACCCTTCCGTGTCCTTGAAGCTGCAGTCTACTGAAGAAGAACGAATTAAAGCTGAAAACTTGAAGGTCTGATGGGATGTCACGTGACGCACATGCGGTCAACCCCAATAGCGCCATATAGAAATTGACCACCTCATCAGTCACCCTGTCGTTGATATGCAAGAGGGTGAGGAGATCTTTTGCTGCAATTCGCAATTGATCATCGGCCAGGTGGCACCGAGCCTCGTTTAATGTCGTTCAAAACCCGCAAGCTTCAAGGCGCAGTCGCTGCAGCGAATCTTTCCCCGTGTGTTCCACGTGTTGTGGTCCGCACTGCATAACATCGAGCAAATGACACGTGGGGTAGTGAGAAACGAAGTTCTAAGCATTGTCCCCTGTTGCACGCGTTACAAAGTATTTCCCATACATGATCTGACCCCTAATCACAGATCGTGGATATGTCCTTTTCTCTGGGGCTAGAAGGGAAAAAAAATCCTCAATGGCAATGGCATGCTTCTTCTTCCCAATCTTGACATCAACCCCTGGTGCCTTTAACATATCCTTGTGTTTTGTCGTCAACCTGTGGACTTTCTGCAGTATGTTCCGGATATTTCGAGGACCTCCGTGTTCGAGATGACCCCATCCCTGTACAACAAAAGAAAGACAGAACGGAAAATAAATACACGTTTTCCAACACGAATCCGACGAAAGTGACAATGTGAGAACCATATAATCGTAAAGACGCAGCAGTCACGCATAACCTCTTCAATTATAGAACCCCGATTTTGCATGGTTATGAGCACTGAGGTAAAACAAAACGACTAGCGCATTCGAGCTTAACACCCCCGCCCTTCACAAAGGAAAACCACCACAAGTCACAAAAGCGGAAGGCCAACATTCCTCGAAGGTCGGATTGCGGCGGACTTTTTCCCACAGCGGGTCCACAAAGACTAACCACATTACGCATCGACATAGGAAGTTCGGATCCCGGCGGACTTAAACCACCACTCTTTCCGAGAAGAAAAAACCATCATTCCATTTAGTTGGCCAGTTTCTTAGCTGGGGAGACTTTTGCGAGGGAATGCTTCAATAAAAAAACACTTCATAGAAGGATAGATCCTTCCTTTGATGCAGTGTTTTGTTTTCGATGAAATCTTCCCTGCCCGCGACTAGCAACCTGACTGACTCACAGAAACGTCGATGACATGTAGTTGGAAGGACTGATGGTTGTAGTATGTCGGCATCCGGAACTTCCCGTATCGACAGACAGTGTGGACAATTGTCGTGTGTATGGCGCGGACTGTAGTCCGCCGACATCCGGACTACGAAGGAAGCCCCTCTCTCGTTTACGTTAGCCTGGGTGCGCAGACAGTGTGGCGTTCTTCACAACTTACCAGTCGGTTTGTCTCTCCGCTCCTTCGTCGGTGAAGTTGGCGTGGGCAAAACGAGCACGTCGAGAGCTTGAGTGTCGACCCTAAATTTTTTAGGGGACGTGACATGTTGTCGTCCCCTGACCTCGCCTTCCCCTCCATCAGCGAGGGTGGCCCGCAGTACCGGTGAGTTTGGCGGCGAGAAAGCGAGGGCAACTGCCACGGAAGATTTGACGTTGCGAGCGTCGTCAACGTCAGGCGTTGTGGACGGATGTGCGGGCACGTGCTGGTCACCGAGGATACCGTCGATAACTTCTTCAATGCTTATATGGCGACTTGCTTTAGATGGGCTCATAGCAACGGAAGCCTTGTCGAAGCGGTGTTGCAGATCGACGACAGACGTCAGTGGTTGGACCTCATAGTCTTCAGGCTCTGCAGAAAGGGTGCTAACCACCTGTGTCTCCATCTCCATTGTCGTGTTATCGTCGTTGACATCATCCTCGTGATGCTCTCCGTACAGTTGTCCGAACTCGTCAGACGACTCTCCAGATCCGGCATTGTCCTCACTGTCCTCCCCATCGTCGTCTCCAATACCCACGTCCCCTTTGGCACCCTCTCTTCCTTCAAGCAATTCAATCAACTTCGTTTCTTTCCCTTCCTCCTCTTCCTCCCCTTCTTCCCCTTCTTCCTCCCCTTTTTCCCCTTCCTTCCCTTCCTCCATTCCCTCCTCGCCTTCCCTTCCATCCAATTCAGACCCTTCTCCGGTACCCGTGTTGAATCCCGACGACCATTCTTCTGTCTCCGTGCATGCTGCCCCTCCCGGCGGCACAACAATCCCTGGCCGACCCCCCCCGCCTGAAGAAGTTCGGATCTCGGTGGACTTCGTCGTCTCCGTGTCACCGGACCCTGCACTTGTAGCCTCTCGCAGCAATCCTAGAGGTCGTCGCTCCCGCTCAGGCGACGCATTTCCGTCCCTCACCACACCGCTGCCGATTGTGGGATCCTGGCTCGGCTCCCCCAACCCCGAGCGGCTCTGCAGACGCTGGACCGCTCTTGCGACCTCAAACGACGTAGTTCGGATCCCGGCGGACTTCAACGTTCCGCCCGAGCGGCTGTCGAGGGCAACCAAGGCTGCCAACGCCTCCCTCGCTGAGCCCACGGACGAAGTCGGGAGGTTGGCGGACTACGTCGTAGGCTCCGACCCGAGGTCAGTAGACGGATGCCGATCAACGACAAAACCCTCCACCCCACCGCTGCCTCCTGGTGTCGTGGTGTCGCCGTGAGATCATCCCTCCCCACTAGGTGGGACTCCTTTTCCACCCCCCACACTGCCACCCTCGTCCCCTCCACCGCCTGGTGCCCCCCCCCGAAACTTCCGTGCGCCTTACTAGGAGGGGGCACTTTCCAGTCCACCATGCCCTTCGACGGGCTCGTGTCAAGCTCATAGTAGTCCTCCGTTAATTCCAACCAGCACTTGTCCTGAAGCTCGTCGAATAGTCGCCGGCTGTGGAAACGACGGACAAGTCGTCGGGTGCAAACGTGTCATTTTCGGCGCTCACTTTTTGGAGGACCGAAATCCTCGCGAGGTGCAGTGAACTGGACTTTGACTCGCGAGGGATGGACACCCATCCCGCGCCCGGGACTGCGACAGCCATGACCCGCTCGCCCTTTTGTATCGCGGGCTGGATGACTCCTGGATGCCAAACCATGTCATGGCCCCAGTCCACCTCAAGCGAATGACTTTGTGGCTCAAGAAGGAAGTGGATGTTGTCATCCTTCCAAGACGGATGATCGGGCGGGACGTCGGACCCGGGACGCAATGCGCGCGGGGGGACGGCCAGAGCTCTCAATCTCTCCAACAACTTCATCGGCGTGGTGCCCGACGCCGGTCTGGCCATCGGCGACACGAGGGGTGCCGGGCTTGTTGACGGACCGGTCGACGAAGACCCTCGGGTCATACTGCAGGTCGAGGCTCTCGGTGTCGCTCTCCTCCTCCTTCGCGTTGGCATCGAGCTCCACACCGGTGGCTGCCTCGTCGTCAGTGGAGATCAAGGAAGTGTAACTGCCAAACTTCAACTCCTCCTCGGACTCGACGAAGTACAGGGACTACAACCTTTCGAGAAAGGTCTTCGCGTTCATGCGGGAGGCGAAGTGGTGGTTGTCGAGCAACGCCAACCTTTGGTCCATGCGGCGGATGTACTCGGTGTCAGTGTCTTTTTTCGGCCGCGTTTGAAGGAACAAGAAGTCGTATATCTTGTTCCTCTTCCTTTCACTCAACTTAAACCACATGTCCGTCTTGTTGCTCCACACCCGATCGAGTGTCGCCTTCACGACCATGAACTCGCAATTGTGGGCCCTCGAATTGACCTCGCTTTTGACGAGTTGCATCGTGAATTGCAAGAGGTCGGAGTTCCCTTCCATCGCGACAACGTGCCGACCTACCTTCAGAAGTTCCCACACGCTTCGCTCGTGCGGCTTCCCAAGGAAGACGACACCCTCTCCCTTCTTGCTAACGAAATCAAGAACACTGACGAATTGTGTCGGATTGTGTTCCATGTCCCCGTAGACACTGCCCTGTCTTTTAGGCGTGGTCTGCGACCAGTCGTAAGGGGTGAAGGGAATTTTCGACACAACCCTCTTGGTAACCCTCTGAGGCAACCACACCGCTGCAGCGGTACCCTTTGGCAGCCTTCCCGCGTAGACGAGGGACATGTTAACGCGCAGATCGTCACCCTTGAAGAGGATGTACATGCAGTCGTCTTCCGTGTACAGATTGTTCCCCACGGGGAAGCTTTTTTTTTGCTGGTTCCTCCTCACCCACTTCCCTTCCAGCAGCTTTACGAAAGAAAGATGGTGCATGCTGGCCAGAAATGAGAGGTTGTGATGCCGCGGCACGAAAACAACGAGAGTCCAATGCGACCGACACCACGTCTTAAGATAGGAATTCAAAGTCTCGAACGCTTGCGGTTTCCATAGCTTCAGGTCAACCGGTTCACACAGATCAAGGACGAACGTGTGGCTCTTTGTGGCAGCCACCGCTTCCTTCAGCTCTGCACTCATGATATCTTCCTCCAAAGGGTCGTTGCCGAATGGTGCGATGGATGTCACGTCCCCCGTGTCTTTCCATTTTATGTGCACAATGCCTTTGGCAAGTGCAATCTCCCGACTCTTCAGTCTACTCCCAGTCAACACGGAGAAAACCTTGTTTTTCCAGTTGATGGTCAACTTTCTGTGGCCGGCCAACTTTTCCGTCGCCTCGATCGAGTGGTCCTCGTCGCAACCCATGTACGGCGTGCAGTGTTGTCACGCGGGGATCCCCAGGGCCCAAGCCGGGGTGGGGGTTCACCCCCGCAACCCCGTCGTGGGGATCCCCGACCCCCGGCCCCTCCAAATTATTCCCGCATGTGCCCCAACCCCGCACC